GGTGTAGACACAGGTGCAAGATCAGCAGGAACTCTCTTGGAAAGGAGGTAAAAAAATGGGAATAATCTTCACTATTGGAGGTACAAAAATTCATAGTTTCTAGTCTTGAAGGTAGACATAGCAATAGAATCATTTATATGAATGAGTGTGGGCCTGTCATTGTTGGTTTATGAGCAAACAACTGTGAAAGTAAACATGATGGTAAGAAAATGGCCTGTCCTGAATGAGTGGCACAATAGATACTCAGGAATCTGAGAGTAAGTTCACTTGTAATGTTGTGGTACATCTTTTGAGAACTTTGCACCTCTGGACACAACATGGGTAGAGCCGCAACATGAGTGCAATTGTGTGTGTGTGTGTGTGCATGTGCGTGTGGGTGTGGGTGTGCGTGTGAGTTTGTATGACTACACAGAACTCAGTGTAGCCTACTGTACCTTAGTACACCACTGTGGGGCCAGGACGACCTGGTACAGATCTTTGCTGCCTGTGCATATCTGACAAACAATGAATCATTTTCCTAGCAAAAGAAAGTTGATGAAATCTGGTATGTAAGGAATCGGAGAAAGAGCAATCTATATACTAACTGAGGAACATAACAATCTGGAATTCTTGTTATTCCCCTAGATCCTGCTGTTATAAATGTGGTTCTGTTCTCATTACATGTTTTATGGGATCATAAAAAACCAAAAATATCTCAACAAAAAGAGCAAAAACCTTGAAGAGTTTAAACAAAGAAAACAAGTATTTCTCCATTAGGACAAACACACACCCAGAAGTGATTACTTTTTATCAGTGTGTTATGTTGAAAATATGATTATTCAAGTCTTCAAAATAGTAAATCACAGTCCGAGGGTTTACACAGTGATATTTTGAACTATTACCTGAACTTCCAACAATGAAATTTCCTTCATTTGTTGTCATAGTTTAGTTTCTAACAAACTAACAAAAAAGAAACAGTTTGATTTCCAAGGTTAACTATCTATGAGACCTTCGACCAAATTACCCTCACGATACTTGTATGAAGGAATGTAAGAAAACAACAGCCGTAACAAAGAAAGACATACATGAGAGCATGTCCTACAAACAGAGCACAAAGCATTAATAAGAACATTCAACAAAGGCCAAAAAACAGGTGTCTTGATCATCTGTCCGACACAAAAAACGATGTGTGAGAACATGGGGTATAGCCCGGGCTGGTGCCCCACCCACAGTGCCTTCACAGTCTCCATACACCATGTCACGCTTGTTATCTCATTGTGTAAGGAAGTGTCGGCCGTGCGTGAGAGTACAGCAGAGGCCGTGTTTACCTGTGCACGACATCAAACAGTGGATGCTAGTTTATGGGAAAGTAGTACAGTCAACTTCAATAATGGTGGCTTCTGCTGTCATGTTGACTGGCATCTTTTTGTATATTTCAATTTTTTTCCATAAGGTCTTCAGAAACCAAAAATGTCCAGAAGTAGGTGGCATATTTGCTGGCTGTATCAACAATGTGTTACAGTTACATTCTTATTTAGCATTACAGAAAAGGTTAATGCACAATTCATTTTAATCATAACTTACACAAATAATTCATACACTGACAAATACAAATCATCACAATAAAACCCCATTATTTAACAGCTAAAAAGTTCTGATTAAAAGAAAATACTCCACTATTAAATGACCAGCACATAAATATCCATCTTCCTCATGAAACTTGCAGAAGGAGGGACAGTTGTCCCTGCTCCTCTTCTTGGGGGGCAAACACTCGGAGAACACCTCATCAAAATGTTTATTGAATAATACATTGCCCCTTAAATCATCATTTCCTGTGTAAGTGGAAGAAATTCTCCACTGTGAATCATAACAGCATTACCAAATATCATTGCCCTTCCCTAAACAAACATTGTCAAATATTGATAACAACAGTCCTATCGCTGTGTTAACACTTGGCCACAATCTCAATACAACTTGTAGAAAAAGGTATGGTGGATTTATCAAGTAGTCTTTCCTGGCGTTATTATTTGCTTCACACATATGGAAGATTGTGTCAACACTCGTCACAGTAGTAAGTGACATTTCTTTGCCTACCACTTGAGAATTTACTGCTGCGTTAGGCCAGGACAATTGACAAGGGACATGCAGTAGCTCTCTATCCCATCTCATGACTGCCCATAAAGCCTACTCGCAGCTCGGGGGAAAAACGTTTGTGGAGAGCAAAATTCATTTCACTTGCTACCATATCATTTTGCAGGGAAAAAATATGATTTATTTGAATTTATAACATGAAAAGAGGAGGTAAAAGGACTTAATGCTAAGATTTGGTTCTATTCCAGTGACCTGCTTAAACATATGGGGTGATATAGAGCAATATAGGCACTCTAGTGTATCCTGGGGCTATATTGCATGGGTGCTATAACACAACTGAAGGAGGGCCACAGTCTGATTGGTTACTTGGTTAAATGGCATAAAGAGGTGAGGAAATATTTTGAGCACACTTGAATACATTTTTGTTAATAATACACTTTTTTATAGTAACAAAATGTAAAACATGGCTATCCATAAAACATGCCATGTATTCATAAAACATGGTGTCAGCTGACATAAATAATACAAAATATTATCAATTTGACCATAATGCCACAGGAATCTCGAGCAAGTTATCTTCCTGCATGCAGTGATTTGATGATAAATATGGTGCCAGTCGGCAATGAGTTTACTCAGTTGAAAATACTGTCCAGTATTCGCGCCAGTGTTGCAGGTCTGTCCGAGTTATTAGCTATTTCCAACAGAGGCTGACCTGACCTCCATCATCTATATACCATTGAATCAAGATTTGTGGGAACCAGTAACATTTACACGGTCTTGTATCTTTTATGCAAACAAAATAGCTGATGTTAATTAATGATGCTCAGTTATTTCCTCTCATACTTGATTATGATCTAAATCATTACGTAACATCAACAGCCGAAGAACACTGATATCTACATAACTTGTTCCTTTCCATAACTTGTTCCTTTCCTTGATGAAGTAACACCAAATATACAGGAACATGTAATCAGATCCAAAATCCATGTTATTCTCTTCCTGGAACTACTTGAATTCAAGTTGTTTGGTATACATACTCTAATGGCGGGCACATCACTACAACATCGCCATGGTTTGGAAAGTCTCTTTCCCAGATTTATTGGCATGTTAAGGTGTGGTATGAAGACTTTTTAAATAAACAAATGTGAGACCAGCATTCTTGCCAAGTTTTTACCAATTACGATCAACACCATAGTCCGATATTGAGACAAGATGATTACGTAACAGGTATGACACCAGCATGTTATTGAAACTGACTCTGTCAACTGAGAGACTATCAGTGGTGATCGAGTGACATTATATTAATTTACCTGATCTTGCTTGATGTATAACAATGTACATACAGGAATGGCAAACAGCTGTGATGCGAGTTGTCTAATTGATAAACTCCTACTGGTCAGATTGGCTTGTCCAGGTGAGGCTGACCACACCAATGTTTTCAGAAATTGTGGGTCAGGCTATAACACTTGATCATAACAATGTCTTTAGAGATAGCAGGGCACGATAAAAAATGTAAGACAGCCTGTGATGTTAAAGTGACACCAAAACATTCAGCAAATACATCAGATATAGATGTTTTAAAAGTTGATAACCCTGAACAAAAAAAGGTTGTCTTGGACGGTCTGCGGCAAGTGAGTATTTTACTGACATAACTTCGACATAATTCTTAGCTTCCAAACATTAGCAATTTGATAGCTGTAAAATGATTATAGGAGAGAAAAAATTAACAAGTACCTGGCCCTCTACTTGCCCTTTCAAAAACGAACTTGTCACGACCTAGCAGCTAGCATTAATTATGAAAGCTGCTTATAGATATTTCACACATGAAAAGAAAGTGTTAGTATGAACCAGAAATCTCCCTTTTTGCATGGACATGAACAGCTGTTTCATAGAAGATCGGCCTCTAATATAAACTCCCTCTACATACAAAAATATCTCACACTTTAAAACATGCAAGGAGTGCCCTATAAAAGGCTGGGTAATTCAATCAAGCATCAACGTGTGACATGAAAGGTGAATTCCAGTGTATGTTCAAGACTAAGTAACACCATTTGCAATCCTGGACATCAAAATGAAACTACATAAAAAGTTCTTGCATAACTTTTGTCCTGGATTAAGATGAGTCATGTTATGGTTGCTGGAGAAGATACACCTTGATTCTGCCTAGCTGCTAGGCGTCTGCTGCTGTGTTACTGTGAACAGATCCGACTGCAGCAGTGATCAGCATCCGTGAGACAGCCACAGGACTTGGAGAGGACACAAGTCACTTGACGGGGATCGGGTGAGGGTCAGGAACATATATAGTCTTTGCCTATATATACATACATATATAGGCAAATTGGGGAAAAGGTTGTTTTCTGGTAACATTTCGATACTATGTCTGTCATTTTCCTCATAAATTGATGCATAATGGGAAAGGTTAAAAAGTGACAAGCCACACAAGCCTCATGAGTGAGTGAGTGAGTGTATTTTTACAACATTCCAGAAATATCATGGTTTGGCACAGCAGATTAGACTGTACACATCATATCCATGTGGGGAATCAAACTTGTTCGTCAGGAAGACAAGCAAGCGCTGTAACCTCTAGGCTATTCAACTGCCCCCAACATGGCTCATGAGGTGTCCCACAGATGGACTAGAAACCTTTCAGCCTCCTAGATAGTGAGTGAATATGGTGTAAAGATGGCCAACTACTAGAAAGAACATCACACATGGCAGGAACCAAACTCGGGCCTCGAGCAGGACAAGCAAATGTTGAATACTTTCACTGCTTCTTTCCTCCTTGGATACATTGTTATCAACACAAAGCAACACATGATTCAGATTGTACTTAAACGATGAATATTCATCCATGATGTACTTATCAACCTCCTTCCAGAATCCAGAAACACTGACAAGAAAGATACTAGCAAATGAAGTTAATGTCTTACCTCAGCCCAATAAGAAGTTGATAGTCCACGAGTCACAGTACAATATCCAAGAAACACAGGAACAGCCACTCTGGAGTTCTGAAACACAGAAAACAGGCTTTAGATAGTTGTGTGGAAACTAGCAGGAAGGCTGAGCATTGAGAACAGGGTGACAGTGATGTGTGATTGTCAAGGATTATGGTGAAATAAGAGAAGAAAATTGACCTGACACTGATGTATTTATGGCAGTATTTATATAGTTTCACCTCTTTTCATGGGAAATGATTGGGAACACAAATGTAGGAAATCTGAAAACTATATTTGGCTTTACAGAATGTATGTGTATACACTACTAATAGAATTAACAGATCATGTTGAATGGAAATGAATGAATTAATGTAGATTAGAGAATGAATGTGAACATGAACATGAAAGAGTTGGTGAATAAAAAGCTGAATGTCCTTGGTAATTTTATGACTGTGAATGTTGAATGAAATGATTGAACAAAGTTACCACTTTCTCAGGTGACTGGGCCATTCCTGGCCATGTGGGTGAATCATTGCTTTGAAGTTTAATATACAACAGTCTGTCAGCTTCTACCGCTTGGCTTAAACCCTGCAGCATGGGTGCTGACAGATCTAGCTGTGTAATTAGGATGACTCTGGGATTAGAACCTACAGCAGATACTGGCATGGGTAAGGGACATAACTCCACATAGAGCCTTAGGGCAGACTAACTACAGAAACACATTATCAGATGTGCCGTGTCTCCCTTGTGTGGGAATCAGACAAAATACTCGTTGACAAGCCTACATTAAACCAAGTATCTGGTCTTGTCTCCCTTGTGCAGAAATCCATTGTTTTGGAAGAGTGATCAATGTGGATACTTCCTCTTGCCAGTTGTTGACATCCCATTAGCTGATGGAAATACAAACAAACAAATTTGTTGTTTTCCTGAGCTTTATATTACCTGCAAGTTTATTTTGGCCCTGATTCAGCACAATGTAGGCAAAGCTGGCAGTACAACAAGCAACAAAACATCTCTTATATTCAGAATGTATCCAATTCAAAGTACAAACAGAAAACTTTCCACAAAGGGAGGTTACATAAACTAAATGCATGATGAAATTGATACGGACCAGACAGAGAGAGCAGACGTAAAATTCCTCATTTTGTAATGAAACATACAGGTACCTCTCCATTAACTTTTCTTCTTAATGTCTCTGCATGTAATTTGCCAAAATATTTAAAAGATAGGGATCTATTAAGGGTCATAATCCGTTTTCCGAACCCATGAAAATCTGTCCGGCAATCATCCCCTCAAAAAGCTTTTATTGCAATTACAATAAAATATTCATGGCCGAGGCAGAAAATAAACGTAAACATTAACATGCAACTGGGAATAAATTACTGTTCCCAGTTTTTGTCTTGTAAACGATGACATTTGTGTTCCTTTGCTTATCACAGCTCTTCAACAAGAAGTCTGGGGCCGTCTGCCGAGTCCAACATAAAGTGTATGTAAAACCTGTAAATACGCCTCGCTAAATGATCCCCTCCTCCGTTTCATCATGGAGCTTGTGTATAATGCTATAAACCCACAAATTCCACAGATAAGGGAATAAAGGCTTTGCCATAGTCTGTCTCCTTGCATGAGACAGAAAATTGTAATAAATAGTTTCTGCGAGATTTGGCTGATTACAATAATTTAGGAGTGGAAACAGTTTGGAAAAAACAAAGAATATTTATAACAGGGAGATAATAAGGGTCAAACTTGGCATTTAAATATCTAATCTGACAAAACATGCAAGTTTGATGACGAATAAGACAAAAATGTTTCTTGAATTCTTCCCTCACTTACTGGTAACTCCACCCTGTAATAAATTATTTCCAAGAAACAAAAAGTGTTCTGTTGTATTTAAACTGAAACTGAATGTTTTATGATTATTGTTAGTTGGGCCTGAGTGGAACAGGCCAGTATTGTAGGTCAAGTCAGACACCTTGCTGACCTGCTGTATAATGGTGTCTATGGGGGCTTTACCATTGTCATTTCTGTTCCATGCCACAATCAGCAGCCATATCTCAGGAGCCTCTTGATGATTACATTGAGACAACCGGTGACTGACTGTCTGAGTGTTCCATGCCACAATTAGCAAACCTCTAGCAGTATCACAGGAGCCTCTTGATGATTACATTGGGACAACCGTGACTGACAGTCTGAGTGTTCCATGCCACAATCAGCCAACCTCTAGCTGTATCACAGACGTCTCTTGATGATTACATTGGGACAACCGGTGACTGACTGTCTGAGTGTTCCATGCCACAATCAGCAAACCTCTAGCTGTATCACAGGAGCCTCTTGATGATTACATTGAGACAACAAATGACTGACAGTCTGAGTGTTCCATGCCACAATCAGCCAACCTCTAGCTGTATCACAGGAGCCTCTTGATGATTACATTGAGACAACTGGTGACTGACTGTCTGAGTGTTCCATGCCACAATCAGCAAACCTCTAGCTGTATCACAGGAGCCTCTTGATGATTACATTGGGACAACCGGTGACTGACAGTCTGAGTGTTCCATGCCACAATCAGCCAACCTCTAGCTGTATCACAGACGTCTCTTGATGATTACATTGGGACAACCGGTGACTGACTGTCTGAGTGTTCCATGCCACAATCAGCAAACCTCTAGCAGTATTACAGAAGCCTCTTGATGATTACATTGGGACAACTGGTGACTGACAGTCTGAGTGTTCCATGCCACAATCAGCAAACCTCTAGCTGTATCACAGGAGCCTCTTGATGATTACATTGGGACAACCGGTGACTGACTGTCTGAGTGTTCCATGCCACAATCAGCAAACCTCTAGCTGTATCACAGGAGTCTCTTGATGATTACATTGAGACAACAAATGACTGACAGTCTGAGTGTTCCATGCCACAATCAGCAAACCTCTAGCTGTATCACAGGAGCCTCTTGATGATTACATTGAGACAACAAATGACTGACAGTCTGAGTGTTCCATGCCACAATCAGCAAACCTCTCGCTGTATCACAGGAGTTTCTTGATGATTACATTGAGACAACCGGTGACTGACAGTCTGAGTGTTCCATGCCACAATCAGCCAACCTCTAGCAGTATCACAGAAGTCTCTTGATGATTACATTGAGACAACAAATGACTGACAGTCTGAGTGTTCCATGCCACAATCAGCCAACCTCTAGCAGTATCACAGAAGTCTCTTGATGATTACATTGAGACAACAAATGACTGACAGTCTGAGTGTGTTCCATGCCACAATCAGCCAACCTCTAGCTGTATCACAGGAGTCTCTTGATGATTACATTGAGACAACTGGTGACTGACAGTCTGAGTGTGTGAGCGTGATGACTCCATTCGGTCAGTTCTTCCAACAGTGAACAAGTCACCAAGCCTGATGAACCCCCCATTCAGTCACCACCTATGACAAAAAGCTCAGTGCTCGGGGCTGTTCTAAACCACAACCTACAGGAGTTTCACCATCATAGTAAGTGGGTGAGGTTATTGAGGTTTGGGATCTAAATATGTGGATTGCTGTATTAAGAAACCTTCACACTCACTCACTCAGTTCATTCAGTTTCAGCAGTGAGTGCACAAGGAACACCAAGGATAATCACCATTTAAGCCTAGAAATCATCAATACTCATTACACATGGGACCATACGAGCTGTAGGTGGCAATTTTCAACAATCAATGCCAAAGTATTTGGAAATCACGTGATAATTCCTGTCTGGGACAATGCCGAGTTGGGTAAGAAGTGACTGATTGCAGATCAGCATCAAAACGTAGTGGTTGTGTGAGCGTGTCCACAGATCCTAATGACCTATCACGACCAGCAGCAAGGTCATCCAAACTAGCTCTTCCGAATGGCCAGTTGTCAGACCGCAACCTCTTTCTGGTTTTAGGTCCGTCAAGCCCTTGGGCATTGTTTGTCAACAGGAAAGCTTGGTAGAATATTCTGGTTGCAAGCAGAGAGCAGCCTCAGGTTGTCCAGCTGATTGTGTGGTGTGAGTAGACACAGGCTTAGCAGGCAACATGAGCAGGTGTACGGCAGAGTGGCATCCCAGACATCAACTTCCAGGTTACCAACACTGACAGTAATGACAGGATTTTGAATCTTGAACCACAGATGGAGATTATCTTAAGAAGAGTTAATGCCACTTTGAACAGAACATACTATGACATTTTAGGAACAACAAGACTGAACCGCCAGGTCTGGACTGCTACAAAGAATCATTATTAAGGTAAAAGTTGGATTCAAACATACAGACAGCACATCCTTGTCAGCCAAGGGACACAACTCCATTTGTGACCACTGGATCCCTATGTGCCCCTTATATTGCACAGGGTCAAATCAACTGGTTTTCATTCATTATTCTATAAGGAAATCAGTGTAGGAAGTACACTCTTTCTGAAACAGGACAACAATCATGCTAGGGTATTTAACTGCTGCTGGAACATGAAGCATCTAGAACAATGACTTCCAGCAACCCGGTCCAAACAAAACCTTAAAGTTATCTACAAATGCCTGTCAATCTTCCTGGCTGCTTGACACTGAGGTAGAAATAGAAAGGAAATTCAAGGTGACATTATTGTTACTATGTTTGGAAGCAACACAATGCCGGCTTTATTCTTCTCTAGCTTCATCGCTAAGTTAATGGTAACTTAACAATTGTACATCATTTTAAACACTTCATGCTGACTGATCGGAAACTAACTACTTCTGGTAAATTTGTTGACAAAATGGCAAAGTCAAGACATCCATGAAGAGAAAAGTTTGTGAGATGCTCATTAGCATTACATCTGGGGGACGTTCCAGGCAAGCAGCAGACCAGAGAGTCGATGCCACAGTGAAACATAATATACTCACACTACTTTCAGTTTGCATATTATTTACTGGATAAAAGGTGTTACATACACAAAACTACATTCTATATCCATCAATCTCTAACAACCTCCAACAACATCCAATTATGTCCAAAAATCTGTAAAGGCATCCAACGACCTACAACAAATTCCAACAAGATCCAATGACCTGAAAAAATCTCCAACAAAGT